GTTCTGTCTTTCTGCTGTGCAGCCGAGTTGGCTTCTACATCGGCACCTACAAGAGTGTTACAAGTCTGGAGGCCATGTTTCACCGTGAGATTTCTCTGGTGAGTTTCTCATTTGTTTTTGAAACTAACACGTTTAGTCAATAACAAGGTCTAGAAGTGCTTTGAATACAAAATAATGCAGAGGAACAGTTAGACAGTGTTTGGTCTGAACCACTGCAGACATTAGTTTTGTGACCATTAGGGTTTGGGCACTTTGTGACATCACATCTTAGCTGGCAGGGTAGGGTAAGACTTTATTGGCAAAGGTGTTTCTGTGGATGGTTAAGTGGTAAAGTTGACATGAAAATGCCAAACTGAATGATTGTTGGTGGACTTCTCGTTGTTGTAGCATAGAACTAATTTCTGTGGACTGAAATATAACTTAGAATTTAACAGTCTCATTAGCTTAAATGTCTTTTCTGCCTGTCCAGGTGTGCAGGCAACTGTATGAGGTGATGACCAAACTGGGTGAGCAGCACTCAGATAAAATGTTCACCATCCAAGGAGCCCCAAGGTTAGTATGAGTTTTCACTCTGAGAATCAGTTAAACTTTTGATTTAGAAACTTTTACTTAGTTTTATACAATAACCCCCCCCATCAAAAAGGAAAGTCTTAAGTCTAATCTTATCGGTAGAGAGGGTGTCCGCCTCCCGAACTGAGACTGGGAGTTGGTTCCATAGGAGAGGAACTTGATAGCTAAAGGCTCTGCCTCCCATTCTACTTCTGTGGACTCTAGGAACCACAAGTAAACCTGCACTCTGAGAGCGAAGTGCTCTGTTAGGATGATAAGGTTCTATGAGGTCTTTAAGATACGATGGAGCCTTGTCATTAAGGGCTTTGTATGTTAGGAGAAGGATTTTAAATTCTATTCTGAATTTTACAGGGAACCAGTGGAGAGAAGCTAATATGGGAGAGATATGATCTCTCTTGCTAGTTCCTGTCAGTACTCTGGCTGCAGCATTTTGGATTAACTGGAGTCTTTTTAGGGAATTACTGGGACATCCTGATAGTAAAGAGTTACAGTAGTCCAGCCTGGAAGTAACAAATGCATGGACCAGTTGGATTCATTTAGACTGAAATGTTCTTCCTGCTGTTTGTTGATTAAGAGGAAATGAACCAAACTGCAGAATAGTGACATTTAGATAATAAACCCATTTAGACCAAGTCCACGTTACTATATGTCTCATAAATGTCACCAAATTAAAATGTAGAATGCAAAGCAACTGCAATAGAGGCACTGGCACAGGCCAGCCAATCAGAAGAGTCTGATGTCATGTGGTTTCTGTCTTGCCCTTCAGTGATTCAGGACCACTACGACTAGCGAGAACCCCATCACCACCAGAAGATGAGAGTCCACCTGAGAGTCCAGATGCTAGCTCCAATCATATGCTTCGGCCTGTCTCACCTGGACCACCACGGCCCAAATCACCCACACAGGTAGATCTAATCCAATTAGATCCTAGTCCATCAGTAGTATTCAATATAACCGACAACACAATAGTGAGAGATCATGTAGTAGTGATATATAACAATGTCTTCAGTACTGGCTATACATGCATATTGCTTAGGTTTAAGTATATTTTGACTTAAGTCAGGCTCAAGTGTTTTCAGTGAACTGTTTGAACTTCATAGTAACTTTGATTGTTTTTTCTTTGCTGCACAATTTTGTCTGTTTGGTGAGTGAACATACAGTATAACATCAGTGTTTTGTCATCTGTGTTTGTGTGTGTGTTTAGTGAATATATAACACCGTTGTTGTTATATACAGCAGAGTCAGTGCCTGACAGTAGAATATCGCCTGACTGTTCAGGTGACCAAGTCTGACTTTGAGTTTTACACTTCAGTAAGTTTTACATGTTTGTATTTGGACAAATATGTATGTAGATGCTAGGTCCAATCATATGCTTCAGCCTTTCTCACCTGGACCACCACGGCCCAAATCACCCACACAGGTAGATCTAATCCTCTGCTGTCCTGTAGCAGAGTCATCCAGCAGCTGTAAATCAGTTCCACATGTAAATGTTCACTAGCTGATCATGATGAGTAGGACTGTTGCAGCTCCACGATAGTTAGAAATGCCAGGCTGCAGTCTGAAATCACTAAATGTATTAATGTGGTGTCGATGGACTCTGTTGTCCCATTATGCAACAGTGCAGCGGAAATAGTGAAGCTGCAGTGAAAATGTGTATAACATCTCAAAAACCAAAAGTATTTAATCCCTATGTAAACTGTATGTGAAAGTTGTGTTAGAATCTGAACTGGAATGATAAATACTTCTCATAATACAATAGTGTACTGTATACTAACAACCAGAAGAGTAGACTATCTGCTTTAAGGTGCTGTCAGACACCTGGCAGCTGTAGCCTGGCAGGGTGCTGCAGCGGATTCTGGCCACCTGTGATCCCAACAGCCTGTTATCAACACAGCTAAACGGAGGGGATTGTAACCTATATAGATTGAATGGTTTGCAATATGACACCATTCAAACATCCCCAGTTTGCAGTGGCCAGCATGTTGTTTGTTTTAATGGGGATACAAGAAAGAAATTGCAGACAGTGAAGTTCAGACACAAAGCATCTGTTATCACTCCTACACTATCTAAATTTTTTGAACAATTATGCATATGTTTCTGTAGTAAAACTCCACTTCTGAAATGTGTTGGTTTACATTAGATAGATTACATGATTTTTACATGTGGGAGCAGGGTCCAGAGAACAGCTTTAGAGGTGGACACAGTGGAGACGAGCCCCTCACATGTTTGGGCCCCCTCAGGCTTATAGTTGGTCCCCATGGTGAGAACTAGAGTTTTAAAATATATCATCCACCTTCAGAACAAAAGTATCAGGACAGACTGTAAACGGTAAAATATATCACTGGAAATGTGTGGTTCTCTGTACCAGAGACTTAAGATGTTTCTTGGAAGCATTTTAGTCTCTTGTCTCACTGATCTGTAACATGTCTCTGTGCTTTAATGTCATTATGGTTAAGTAACCATGTCATAATCAGTTGATGGTGGTGAATCTCTGTTTTGTTAGTTTCCCATCTGTGACTTATTTCAGGTTGATTCTCCTCAGTGTCTGATGTTTTTAAACATCCACTAGTTTATTCTTTAGTGGGTTGCAGGGGCACTGGGTTGGGTGGGGCTGGAGCCTACCTCAGATGACAAGATGACAATGGGAGAGAGGTGGGGTGCACCTGGACAGGTGGCCAGTCTATCATAGGGCTGACCGTCAATTCAGTCATCAATTAACCTAAGCTGCATGTCTGTGGACTGTGTGAGGAAGCTGGAGTACTGGGAGAAAGCCCTGGTTGGCTGCCAGGTTAGAACCCAGGGCCTTCTTACTATGAGGCCACAGTGGTAACTACTGCTCCACTATGTTACCCTCATTTTAAAGTAAATTTCAAAAATTACAACTTATTTTGATCAATATTTCTCATCAGTTATGATGAGATATTATGCACCAATTAATTGCTGATGTGTGAAAACAGTGAAATATTCAGTCCAGTGAGTTTTCAGCAACATAAAAGTAAAAACATAGAAGTTATAATTATACATATAGAAGAGACACTTTAAGCTTTTACAGCTACAATGAGTATGACAGGTCAATGTTAAACCACAAGTTTAAAGCTGTTTAGAACCGTTTTACTAAAAGCATCTTTTCTCTTGTAAATCTGTGAAACAGGTTTAAAGTGTTTACAATCTGACTGCCATGTCATTGTGATATCACAACTGCTCATGTTAGAAATGAAACTGCAGAGTATAAATTAGATCATAACTCGCATGAAAACAACTACAAGCTTTAGTGAATGCCATCGCCTGCACAGTACATCTTTGGTACTGGAGGAAATGTGTGAGCTCACTGATTAGCTGAAGAATTGTATCAGTGTTAGAGTCAAAGACAAAAGTATTTAGATTTTTACTGAAAAAACTGTTACAATTTTTAATAGCCAATTTTTTTTTTTAAAAATCAAGAAATGGTACATTTCCACAACTGCAGATAGTCATTGACTGGATTAGGGTCAGTCAGCATAGGGCTCAACACCTCATAGCGGGTCGCTCATTGTGCAAATAATATTGTCATAATCGGCACCACTTCCAGGTTCCGGTACGGCTCTCTCTTGCCACCATTCACCTTTGTCCACTGCGGCTGATCACTGGTGATACATGGTACCCTAGGTGACTGTTTCCACCTGAAACTTGTTTTGCTGCCTATTTAATTCACCCCGATCTCCATCCTTGTCACCAGTACTTTCCAGCCGTGCATTCCTAATCTCTGCCTGCCTGATTCAAGACTATTTTTTTGTCAGTTTGACTTGCTGCCTGCCTATGCCTCCTCTGCTCAGTAAACCTCTGTTCTAGTTGGTTGATAAGTCTGAACTGTTTGTATTAATGGCTCAAGCCTCTGCCTGCCTGTGCCTTGGCCTGCTGTTGCTGTGGGGCTCTTTTTGTCATTGTTAATCAGTAGATTTTTTTTGTTAAGCGGCTAAAGAGGACTGTTCTTTGCTTTACTGGGTTTATGGTACAGTGTGCAGTTTTGTGTTGTATTTTTCCCCTGCCATTGTGCTTATCTGTTGCCAGCCACCGTTTTTATCCAGTCCTTTTGTGTTTGTGTGAGAGACATTACCACTCACCCTTTATTAATCTGACAAAGAGAACCATATGGGGAACTTGCCTATACCACCTACACGTGTTGCCTCCCTGGTCCATCTACCTCCGCCCAATCTCCTGTGGGCTACCGGTCCTCTGGCCTCCGCTGTCACCTTTGTCCCTGTGGAGAAAACCCTACCTTTATCTCTCTCTACAGCTCTACAGTTTTCTGTGTTACCCTGTTTTGTGTTCCCAGTGCCGCTCTGCTGTATGGTGCCAGTTCCCAGTGGAGATAATAACCTCACCCACTTGGTCATCTGCAGGTCCAGGTTCTGTTCCTTGTGCTGCCAACGTCTACACTTCTAGCCAACGTACCTGAAGGCAGCCTGTCGAAGTACAGCCCATCACCTGGGTTCCTCTTTTACCTGCAAAACCACTTGAATACATCTATGCTCATGAGCTGCACTGTGCACCTGCTGTCTTACCACATCCACCTCCGCTGCTGCGCTCCCACAGAGTGGCTTTGCCCCTATCTTATACCCTTTAATAACCCTGTTACATACTACTGCCATTTGTGTCTTGTATTTTGGTCTTTTTCTTGCTGGTTCACTGAAAAAGTTAAAATGTGGAATACAGAATGGGGAAACATCTCAAATCAGTGACACCTCACTCTTCAGTATTATATTATAGAAATAATAACAGTATCCTGTGTTGAACTGTATTATTGTTTGTCTTGTCCACATGTGGCTCCATACATCCTTTTTGATTTTGAACATTACAGTACAATAAATCAGAAAATGCAAAGCTGAGCTAAATCTGCTCTGAGTTTAACTAACAGTTTGTTTTGTCTTTTGGCAGTTTAAAAAGGGGCCGCCGGTGCCTCCACCACCAAAGGTCACACCTACCAAGGAGGTGGTGGAGGAGCAGATCATCGACCTGTTTGGAGGAGAATTTCTACCAGCACCTTCTCCATCACAGGTCTGTGGATTCTACAGAGATTCACTGTGCTCATTAACAGTTCCTCAGAGACAAGTGATATGTGCAGTGTGTTGGCTACACCTGTTTACCTGTCATTTTGATGTTGTCTACAGCCAAATGAACGACCTGGAGAATCATTTCTTCTGGAATCTGATTTATTATTAACCACTACATCTACAGCCCAATGAACGACCTGGAGAATTTCTCCTCGACCTGGACTTTGATGCCTTTCAGCCAGATGAAAGTGTTTCGCCAATACCACAGGTTATCTTCATTAACTGACAGCCGGACCAATGATATATTTCATCTGCAGCAGTTTAAACCAGTGTACATCTCATCACCTGAATGTGTTTGAACAAAGCAACCACACAATAATCTTACTGAAATGAAGAAGTCTACAAACTTAGTTTTACTTGAAGGGCCTGTGATTGGACTGGCTAATAACAGACTGACAAAAGACTTGGGTGAATCTTTTCAACTTTTACAGGGAGTAAACTGAACAATCAAAAAGACCTGCTTCAGGTTAAACATTATTAAACATAGAACTGGCTAGAAATAAGAGCAGACTGGACAATGGATCTCCTGACTTTCACACTGTAGGGTCAGTTCGTCTTACCATGCTAACTCTGAGAGACGAGGCAGTCCAAGTAACTTCAAAACAGTGCTGATTTATTCAAAGGATCACAGGTAAAATTAACATTACACGCTCAGATATCTTGCACCTCCAACCTGCACGCAGGCAGTTGTAAGATGAAAGACCCCGAACTTCAACAGGCCTATACATTATATCCCCTCAGTTGGGCTAGCCCCATACTACACAGAAACGTCAACCGAGACGTCTCTCTCACCAGCTTTGCAGCTGGCTCTAACAGTAGTCAAAACATGAAGCAAATCAACGTGTGAATGTGTATGTCTGTTGGTTAAGTGGTGTGTAGCTAAAAACATTCTCACGACCTCTAGTACATGTCGTGACTTGAACATAGGAACATTATGGCTAAGGCTACAGTTATACACATTGTAATAATAATATTAAACAGCCTGTCTGCTGACAGTCATCAACTATTCTTTCTGGTAGCCTTGACCAGAAGTACCCTGCAGAAACTCATAAGCAGGCCTAAGCATTTAACAGTCTAACTAGACATCCTCTCTCCACTAACATTTCTAATACATAAAGTATCTATCCAATATCTATCTGACTACAAATATCTAACAACACTGAAGGCTTGTGGTTCAGGCCTCATCAATGGTGCTGCAGAGGATTAGATTCAAATCAGAATCGGAATAATCTTTAATGGCCAATTATGTTTGAACATACAGGAATTTGACTCCAGAGGCTGCAGAGGCTCTGTGTGTTTTAAGGCAACAGGAAACGGACAATAATCACTGTCGGTCCGGGACATTATTCAGGAAATGGACCGGTCGTCCTGCAGAGCTCATCTGGTCCACGGGTCACACGGCACCACTTAAAGGTTATCTTCCATTATAAAGCCTCATCCGGTTCTTTCAAACCAGGAACTCAGAGGGACGACTCAGACCACTTGAGTATATAAAAAATATATCCGTGCTGGTTTATTCTAAGGGTCACAGGCAAGAATCCACACTTCCAGTCCAGAGATCTTCCAAACCCCCAGCCTGCCAAAGCAGCCCGGAAGCAGGAAGACCCCGAACCACGCATTGCTATACAATATTAATCATTTCTGGGCTGTCGAACCGTGACGTCACCTGATATGCCAGCTTGGCAGCTGAGCAGAGCAGTAGACAAAACATGAAGAAAATAATGTGTGTGGCTGTTGTTTTCGTGGTGTGTATCTAAAACAATTTGACATAACATTACACATTAAGACAAATATTATGGTTACTTTTACCGTCATAATAACATTTGTCCCTGACGGCAGCCTTTCTGCCTTAACCAACCTTGCATTTAACAGCCTGAGGAGACATCCTGGCTGCACTAACATCTTCTAATACAACAGATCTCTAATCCATATCTATCTAACTAAGAAATTACCTAACAGTGTGCATTCAAATAGGAATCATGTCCAATCAAAATAGGAAAATGCTCTGATGGATAAGCAGAGAACAGACTCGATGATTCCTCTGTAGAACTGGATCAGCAGCTCCTGGGGCAGGTCGAACTTCCTGAGCTGGCGCAGGAAGTACATCCTCTGCTGTGCCTTCTTGATGATGGCCCTGATATTGGATGTCCACTTCAGGTCCTGAGAGATAGTGGAGCCCAGGAACTTGTAGGACTTTACTGCTGAAACAGTGCTGCCAAGTATGGTGAGGAGGGGTTAGGTAGGGGGGTTCTTCCTGAAGTCCACTGTCATCTCCACTGTTTTGAGCATGTTCAGCTCCAGGTTGTTGCAACCACACCACAGGACCAGCTGCTCAACCTCCCGTCTGTAGGCCGGCTAGTCACTGTCTCAGATGAGACAGATGCCCGTTGTGTCACCTGTGAACTTTAGGAGCTTAACAGAGTCCTTCGAGATGCAGTCGGTGTAGAGTGAAAACAGCAGAGGGGAGAGCACACATCCCTGGGGGCCGCCTGTGCTTATAGTCCATGTGCCTGATGTGGTTTTCCCCAGCCTCACCTGCTGCTTCCTGTCTGTCAGAAAGCTGGTTATCCACTGACAGGCACAGTGAGCTGGGTCAGTTTGGAGTGGAGGATGTCCGGGATGATGGTGTTGAACGCTGAGCTGAAGTCCACAAAGAGGGCCTGTTCATAGGTCCCTGGGGAGTCGAGGTGTTGCAGGATGTAATGCAGTGCCATGTTCACTGCATTGTCCATTGTTTGTCCGGTAGGCAAACTGCAGGGGGTCCAGCAGGGGGTCTACAATGTCCTTCAGGTGGGCCAACACCAGTCTCATAAAGGACTTCATAACTACAGATGTCAGTGCAACAGGTCTGTAGTCGTTCAGTCCACTGATGGAGGTTTTCTTGGTGACTGGGATGATGGTGGAGCGTTTGAAGCAGGAGGGGGTCACACCATCTGGGCCCGGTGCTTTTCTGATTTTTTGTTTTTTAAAAATTCCATGCACAACCTTTTCAAAGATCTTCAGGGGCGGGGGGCTGGGAGGAAGACAGGTGGTCATGGTGGGAGCAGCTGCTGGGTCACATGTGTGAGGTGGGTGAGGGGGGAGTTTTGCTTCTCAGACCTACAATATGTGTTTTAACACATTCAGGTCGTCTGCCAGTTGATGGTCCTCCACAGCAGGGGGGATGGTTTCCTGTAGCCAGTGATGTTTTTCAGGCTTCTCCACACAGATGAGGGGTCGTTGGCTGAAATCTGAGCTTTGAGCTTTTCAGAGTAGCTCGTCTTTGCTGCTCTGATCTCCCTTGTCAGTGTGTTCCTGGCCTGGCTGTACAGAGTCCTGTCCCCACACCTGTAAGCCTCTTTTTTGGCACGATGAAGCTGCTTGAGTCTGGCTGTGAACCAGGGCTTGTTGTTTTATGTACAGAAGGTCTTTTTGGGCACACACATACACATCCTCACAAAAACTGATGTATGATGTCAAAGTGTCAGTGAGCTATTCCAGGTCTGTAGATGCAGCCTAAGATACACTCCAGTCTGTGCAGTCAAATGAGAATTTAATGCACTCTGGTGTCCAGTAAAGATTGTGAATTTGCTTATTAATTTAAAAAAAAAGAGAGAGAGGCTTTTCTGGGTTGCAAGCGAGAGCAGACGTCTTTATTGCTTCTCTTGTCTGTTCTACGATTTTTCACATCTTCCATATTGTCAAGGCTTTGAACAAATTCTACAACTACTAAAATGCCTCCAAGAGGGAAAAGAGCTAATAAATCCGAAGTGAACGAAGATGTTGAGGCGGAAGAAGATTCTATTTCAGCGGCGCAAGTAGCTGAGATGATGAAGCAGCAGGAGATCATGTACACCT